ATCTGAAAAGTGGTGTACTAGAGTTTTCACGCGCGCTGATTTTATTACACAACTTTTACGAGTTTGCAAAGCTTTTCAAATAGTTTAAACACAATTCTAGGGAGCATTGCAAAAAACAACTATCGCGGTTAACCTGGCATAACTTATGAAGGAAGCACTGCAGTAAAGTGCAGACTTCATATTTGGTTTGAGCGGATCGACTTGGCCTAATATAGGTTGTTTTAGGTGTTCAGGTTGTTTGTTTTGGTTTTCGGAAAGAAAAAGGGCCTCCAGTGGCTTGCAACCCTCCCTGAAGTTAATGCCGTAATTTTACTGTAATGAAGAACGATCGGTGATTTGCCCATATTGCAAATCTCAGCCTGGACAAAAGCAAAAGGCTTCCATACACAAAGATCCTTTGAGATCAAACATATGACATTTTTGGAACACCTTGTACAAAATTATCATAGGGACATCGAGCCTTTCCCTTACGCTCCAGTTAGCGGAGGTCCAGCCCATGATTCAATCTATTCAAAATATGATTTGTTCCTTAGCTTACATAGAGCTTTAAAAGCGCGTATCAACATTTTATCCCCGATTCTTACTGTTGCACTTCTTTGAGTAATCGTTTTCGTGACTTACCAAACAATGTCCAACGTTAACAACTGAAACAAGTGCTCTTACATATAACACAACAAGTGTATGTCATTTCCATAGTGTAGGCGCAACATATGTTCAAGTTATTGAGCTCTTCTCTGACATGCGCATTGCGTCCATTTGATATGATAAGTAGTCTTTACTTTTCAGCTCAAAATGTTTCAATTTTTGCGGACGATTCTAGGTCCATTATGCTGCTGCTTTCCTGGCATGCCACCATGCGAAGACGAGGTAATTAGCGTGATTAGCCCTTCAGCAGGATACGATCTCGCCTCGGAATATCTTACAACATCTATCAATTCTTCGGTTAGTTGCCTTAAACTTGCGCCCAAGATCGTCTACTGATGACATAAATAGGTGAACCCATGCGACGATTTCTTTGAGTTCACTTGTGGCAACTGGATAGCTAAACATCCGATTCCCGAGCACAGAACCACTTATGATCATTTTGAAGTGCTTGTTGATAAAGTGCAAGAACAAATGAGAGGTAAGATCAAAATGCAAAATCAAATTCGTTACGCAACTCTGGACTTTTGATGAGTAAACATTACAAAGAAAAGCACAAACATGTGTTAAGTGAAGTTCTTTGTATATATGACAGAGTTGCGCACCTATGATCTTGCTAAGAAAATGCTAACTTGAATAATTCTTCGATTTTTCGACTTCGATTTTCCTGATTAGACATTTGAGGCGTACTTGAATCAAATGAGACGTTCGAATCAAAATCTATGAACGTAGTTAAATCCATCTATAAAAAGTGCATGGACAAGGACGAGCTGAACCGCATCGGCGCTAAGCGATTAATAGCAAATGTCAGGGTAGGTTTGCGCAGTTTTTTTTTGCAGGAAGATCTTTCAAGAAGCCTGCTTCAGAAATTTGGTGTTTGGCCATTACTGGAAGGAGATAAAAAATGGAGAAATAGGGAAATAAGGAAATATGATCTAACATCACTGTTGATACATGTGTCAAAAAGACGCAATGTCCATGCATTCATCAAGTACTCTATCACTCTCGACAGCAAAAATGTTTCTCGCCGTCTAATCCAGGTATGGTTCTTTTCAAGTAGAGTGTATGCAAACGATAGTTCAGCATATGATCATCACTCGCCAATGAAGCCTTTTTAGACAAGAAAAACTTACAGATGGCACAAGGCTATTTTCAGTTTGGCAACTTCTTGAATTTGGCAACTTTATGCCTTTTTTCGTAGTAGTATCTCAGTCATCACAGCAAGCTTTTGAACAAAAAGAAAGAGGCCGATAGTCTCTCGGGAATGAATGAGAAACGTCATCCCATTAGAGATGTTTACATAAGCTTAAAGATAGAGAGAAGAGTGGCGACTAGATTTGAAGAAAGAAGTTTGATGCTTATTTTAACTAGTATTCGTTGAATCAAGGATATTTACTATGTATTAAGTCATCTCAATCTTTTTCATATTCGCACCTTCAAAATGATACTTCTCTAAAACTAAGGCATCTAGAAGGGTGCAAACTTGTGGGAGTATTCTTGAGTGAATAAGTTATTTAATGACACATTTGCTAGGAACATAGACTCATTACAGGCAATGTTCAGAAATTAAGCGCTTCATTTTTTTCTCGATTTCTAAACGTCAAAAAATGCAGCAAGTGTATATATTAATGTCTGATGGGGAAAATGTATGCGTGAGCAAGTGGGAACTCTGCAGAATGTTTTTGAACTAAGATACGATTTTTTTTCGGAATTTTGGATTTTTTTTCATTTTGTCTTGAAACTCGATGCGGATCAAGCCCTGATACGAACTTTTGAGAGTCATGTTGTAGAAATTGTTTTACTCTTTCAAATGGTACTCCGCTTCTCATCAGAAATCTAAGAAGAGCAGACTTATGCTGGTGAAAATGCTGATATGAAAAAAACTTTTGGGATGACCTAATAGGACAAGAGATCTAAGATTGGGTATAATTGCCAACTTCTCCCATTTCATGTTCGTTCTTTAAAAAAACTCAACGCCATCGCTGGACGGCATCTATACTCTTCGTACATAATGTCAGCAACATGAAATACAAAAATTGTACTCTTACTCTTCCCGTCAAATGAACAAAAGTAGTAATTTCTCAATTGGTGCGGTAATGCAACCGATCTCATCTAGAAGCTGTTCTCTCTCATTAACATTATGTCAACGTTTTTCACAGTCTACTTGGACTGTATATGCTCTTTCACAGAGCGGTTTCAACAAAGTTTTAGAATTCCAAGTTTGATTACAATTTCCTGCAGTAATCTCCTCGGAATCATTATAACCTTTTCGTAGACATCTCCTTTTTAGATGCTAAACATTATAAAGTCTGCGAAGCGATCACACTTGCTGTGATAACATTCTTGATGTTGTAGTCCCATTCTAGAGCGAAGTAGATTAACAATTTTCTCATGTGTTAGTACAAAGTTCCTTAATAATGTGGAGATAATCAACAATCCCTGGTGTACTTTACATTTTGAAAGGAATTATACTAAGGCCAGAAAATCTATAAATCCTCTATAAATCCCTTTAGTTGTAACTTTATGATATGTTTAGAACACAAAGAGTGGCGAAGGAATTTAGGTGAAAATTGAAGTAATTACGATGCGTCTAACGGGGCCAGCGACACGTAATGCAACCACACATCTACGCGCTAGCGCTACTGTACGCAAGGCGTGCAAGGACCATGCTGCGCACAACATTGCGGGCCTTGTTATTGTCATTGTATCTCGCGATTTTCCGTTCTTGAAGCAGCGGATTGTCATTTCTTTTTCTTCTCTGCTCATTGCAATCTGCTTCCGGCTAAGATTTCTTTCGCAACAAAAGAAGGGGATATTAAATTTTTGAGCGTTTTTTTCATGCCACTTTTCATTTCAACCAAGCCTTCTTCGAAAAGCTAATCTTGGATGTCACGGTTTATTATGTCGTCTGTGTTTCAAACAAAGATCGTATATCGTTTAGGTTTGAGTGAACAGCGCCAGCCTGTTCACGCAAACTGTTCTCTCAACCTATACAAAATACGATTACACCTTACGATGTTCACCTTTAGCTGTAAGGAAGGAGAGCACCAGTCGTTCTCAGGTTTCTTTAAAATGATTTAGTCACATTTTCTTTTGAAAGACTTTAAACCTCCATTTTATCTTCCATTTGCGTGGTAAAATTTAGTGAGGTCTCAGGAAGTACTGAAGTAGAGTTTTAAGCAGAAAAGCTCAAAAGTCTGGAAGCAGGAGAGAATAAACCAGAGAAAAAGCAGGAAGAGTAGCTAGAACAAGGGCTACGCCGCTTTGCGTGACATGGGCCCTGCAAGCTGAGCATACGGTAGCGCTCGCGCGGGTGTGTGACTGCACTGCGCGACGCTGGTCTCCTAAGACGCATTGTGCAAAGAAGTAGTCGCAGCGTTGTATCAAATATGTGTAAAACCTTTTCTAGGTCGTATGTCCTTGAAAGCCATGCTTGACGTTGTCGCACATCTTGACAGCAGTGACTCCTATTGCGATAATACCTAAAAAGCGTGAAATCAAACATAAAGTCTCATCTGAGGCCCCCTCAATATCAACCCATATGTCTCCCTCAACATGACGTGGATTACGTGGATTGATGAGGCGCCGCCTCGCTTTGGGCTTGCGCCACGCTGCGGGCGCGTCTGGCGTGACGTGGCGCTTGAAACAATGTGGTGTAGGCTTTCTCAGGTTGTTCTTGTTGTTGTAAGCTCCACATCATTCCAGACGATGCGCCCGCAACGCGTGCAAGCCCAAAGCGAGGCGACGCCTCATCAATTCACGTAATCCACGTTATGAAGGTAGACGATATCGAAGGTACAGTATCGCTCGTGCTTTTCGAATCAGCGCGATAATGTACATGTTGTTGCTTACACATGTCCGCGCCTGTCTGGGCAGGTATTGGAAGCAGCCAAATTCATCATTCTTAAGAATTTTTTCAAATTTGCCCATGGTGGGGAGTCGATGTGCATTTATTTATGTTTTTCTGTTACAACAAAATTATGTATTCATAAACAGTATTTATGAATACATAATTTTGTTGTAACAGAAAAACTGGCTAGCTACCGTTCACCTACCGTATTTTCGCAGGTATTTTTAAACGAAGCGCCCTAGCTGAGTTGGTTTGGTTAGAAGATATGATGACGCCCGCGATTTCTTCCAGAATGGCGCGGTGTAGCACGCTGCTCCTATTTTTAACATTTCCAAATCTTTACTATGAAACAAAATCCAGGGATGAAGAAGCTTCTATAGCAGGTTAGCTATAGATTATAGAGAAAAGATGCATAACGCATATTACTTTACTTACGCATTTTGTTCCGGAGGTTTTTGATGTTGATGGATTTAGATTCTATATATCAATTGCTATCTTCCTTTTTGCAGTTCGATCAAGGAGATCTTATCTTAGGCAGATCCTCACGAGATTATTACTTGGATGAAATGCATAGCACAAAAATTGAGGCTTTAAAACGTTCTCTCGTCAGTAAGGTAAGACATTATTTAAGGAGAGGGTTCATAAAATTATTTCATGTTCTGAAAGTTGCAGGTAGAGCTATTTCAAAAAGACGCTAATCTAACAACCAACAGAACAGAAATTGAAAAGGACATAGACGAACTGGTCAAATTTGAAACGGAAATGGCACAGATCTTGGTTGCTGATGAGCACCGCAGCAACTATAGCAGACTTTATAATCTTCGCCACTTGAATAACCTACAGGAGCTCATGCCTTTAGTGGGTTTTCAGTAAAAACACAGTCGAAATAATTATACCTAAGGGAAATTTCAGGTCGACTGGTCGCGATTTTTCCTTGCCATCGCTCCAAGAGATTCCCACCAATATCTCAGGTCGAATCCAGAAGTGCTTATCGCAGAAATCGATTATCTAAGAGGGTAGAGGTTTTCTCTTGAGACCTTGGTCACTTTGCTTGAATAACATGCACGAACTGAATGAGTTTGTTGAGAATAACCAAAGTTTTGAATGCAACAAACCCACGTATAATCACAAATTATGTCCTCTTGCGATATGCTTTGAATTGGGAACGAGAAATGGGAGAAAAGTACGAAAATGTCACTCAGGTATAGAAGACATTGTTCGATTTGCTTAATTTAATCTCTTTGAAAAAATTCAAGGTTTCAATTTTTCGACAAAAACTAATCTGGTGCAGAACGTTGCGTTTTTTGCAAAACGTCATTTGACGCGCTAGAACTCCAGAATTTCTCAATTTTTCGAAAAGATCAATTTGGTGCAGAATGGTGAATTTTTTGCAAAGCCCTATCCAACGCGCTAACACAACCCGCTAAGGAAAGGATACTTGGTCGCCGTGGCCATCTAAAATACGATGTATACTATAAGATGCATCTTGAAACGCTGATTCTAAATCTGCACTCGACATCGAAGGAAGTTACAAACTTTTTTTTAGATAATTCGTGTACTTTTGGATAATTGAATTTACCGAACTTGATCTAGCTTACCGTTTGATGCTCTTGAACAAGATCTTAGGTAGAGTACTGTTGTATTTATAACTGTCTAAATCGTATAAAGCTGTTGAAAGAGTGAGAAAATTTTTATTGAAGATTTTAACCCTACACGTAGTGCAAATATCATCCAAAAAATTATCATGTAGTCGTTTTCAATACGTATTGGTCTTTCCTACCGTATGTCTTCAAGCCTCAACATGACGTGGATTGGTGCGGCGCCGCATCGCTTCGAGCTTGCGCCACGTTGCTTTTCTCGCCACGTCACGCCAAACGAGCGTCCATTACGTGGCGTAGGCCCGGAGCGATGCGTCGCCTCACTTATCCGCGTCATGTTGAGGCTGGAAGGCATAGTAGAAAAGATCAATATGTATTGAAAACGACTGTAACCCCAACCAATTTAGCGTTTCGCAGCTATGGAAGACAATTTTCTAATCGGCATTTAAAGGCGCATTTTTTGATATACAATTCGTTATGAATGGCCACGGTCGCCCAGTATCTTCCCCTTGTAAGATATCTTCAAAATCAGGGCACGGTAGAGCTGACACCGGTTAAAGCTGGATATCGAAAACACAAATTTGCAACGTCTTATTTAGTTGACGTTTCGTTTTTTCTAAATATTTTGTGTTTAGGGGGTTAGGGTCAAAAGGACTTTGTACGAAATTTTCGAGATCAAGTGGGACTTCATTCTATAATTTCCCTGGTGCCAGCTCGTGCCGAGCCTGTCCGGAACTTCTGAGTTTTTCGAAAAGGCCAAGTTGGTGCGAAACACTGCATTTTTCGCAAAGCCCTATTCAATGCGTTACAAAATGTTGAAGGATGAAGTGTTAAATTTGATAAAAGACTCGAAAACGCATTTCTTAACGTTTGGATTTTATCGGCAGTTGGCAAGCCCTCGTACACCGGGTGAGTGGCACGATCTGCAACAGAAATTGAAAAATTCTGACTTTATGAGCTTTTTCGGCAAGAGGATTTAGTGTCCAGAATTTGCAAGCTGTTATCATGCTAATGTAAATAAGGACACCTACCTTCAAAAAAAGCAAGACGCTACGATTGGTTCGTTCAACACGACCGCATTACTGGCTCGTTAGTAAATAATCGACTCCTGGGGCCGTAGTAATCCCTTTGGACGTGATGTACAAGCTCGCAGCCTAAACTCAAGCTCAGCTTTATTCCTCAAGCCACTGATCTATTTCCCCGTTATCTTTATATCGAAAATATATCGCCAGTAATACTTCACGTCTACGTACGTCATGCCCATGAAGATTGCTATGGCCCGTGATTGAATCTAGATAATCTTGAAAAGTGACCTCTATGTATATAGGCATCTATTCGCGTTGTTCATGTTTTGAAGGAAACCTCCAATTGCACTTTGATACCTGCTTAAAGGCAGTGTCCAGGCAAATCTGGGCATATGGGTTTTTTTGCCTGGAAGCTGTCGAGGAGGCTCTAGCTAAAGCACTGCCCAAACCGCAGCGCAAATAATTCATTCACGGCTGAGAAATCCATCCACAAACACTCCGCTGCTGCGACGTGACCGTAACACTTAGGATTGGTCCCGGCGCGGACGTAGTGTTAAAGTGACCGAAGTCGTCATTGGGTTACGGTCATAGCGCAGGCGCGGGGTTTTCGGGGACGGATTTCTCAGCCTTGGTTGAACAATTTGCGTTGCTCCTTGGGCAGTGCCTTAGTTAGGACCCTCTCATTGATTTCTAGGCGAACGAGCCATGCGACCAAATGCCTGGACACTGCCTTTGAGTACAAAGAAAAATGTTTCGAGATTGTATATCTGAAGTGAGAGTTTCAAGGCATCAGGCCAGGCTAAACCTGCCATTGCATCATGGTAGAAATGCAAGAAGAGAGTGTAGAGTAACGAAGTAAATATCAAAAAATGTCTCAATTTAGGAATTCAATAGGGTTATGTATGGACAAAAGGAGAAAGCACTAGCATGGCAGGACTGCATTGGCCACACTGTTGAACAACTGGAAGAAATTCAATACGCTACCAGTGCGATATACATAAGAAAAATATTCGATCAGGTACCTATTACGGCTTACACTTTCAAATTTCAGCTGTGTAGTTTAGGAGTCGAAAAATGTTACACTGGAAATGATCAATGACTTGCAAGAAGCATTTCGCGAGATCCTCATCAACAGCGATTGGATGGACAATCAAACTAAAGCTGTAAGCTGATATGGAGGTATTTATAGCAGCTGAACAATATAGTTGCAGACAGCTTTGGACAAGGCAAACCAAATGCTGCGTCTAATAGCCTACCCCGACTTCGTTTTGAATAACCAGAAACTTGACATGTACTATGGCGGCGTCAGTACTTTTCTTTCTCTTTCAAAAAGCTTTGGTATTATTTTAGTTACAAGTGCATAAAAATGATTCGTACAGTACGATGCTAGAAAAAGTGACGCGCTGGGGGATCAAGGACTCCTTTAAAAGACTGGAGAAACCTGTAGATCGTTCGGAGTACGATTTCAACTCCGCCATAGTCAATGCTTACAACTCACGAACGTCTAATTCTATCAGTAAGATTACACCACTTTTGCGCTTCTCTTCTTCTCCATCTAATTTCAGAATTTCCTGCTGCGATTCTTCAAGCTCCATTCTTCCATCACACCTTTCCGAGGTTATTTGAGTTAGCTTATTATTGTTTCCGATTTAAAATTCACAAAGAAATCATGAAGCACCGATGGTTTTGTAACACATTTAGCACTCCATGTGTGTAGAAGTGCGGAAGAGACCACTTTGCAGGTGGTGATAGTCTTAGAAACAGAACCTCCATGACAACTGCTACTTCTTTCGAAAACTTATTTTCTTTTTGTATCTGAATTGAATTGCCGGGATAGCATAAGAAGAACCTTGGTAAGAGATTGTGTAAAAGGCACACTCAAAGCAGTGTTCGGACAAGAAGTCGATCTTGAGATTTTGCGCTTATCTGGGCCTATTCACTATGCTGAGTCTGAGAATCAACACTGGAGAACGCGAAAACGTCGAAAAAAGCTCTAACGCAGAGGGAAAGAGGAGGTGGGAGGAGCTGTTCACACTGTAACCTCACTCTTTCAAATTCAAGAACGATTCCCTCGCTTCCGCTAGTCGCTCTAACATCGCACCAGCCAACCGCGAACGCGCCACTCAGCGGAATCAACAAAATCGCTCCTGAAGCTGGGAAAGTGACGTCGCAGCTCGAGCAGCCACGCCCACGTGCGATTTCCCTCCTGCTTTTTGTCGTTTTCGCGCTCTCCAGCGCGAAGTTTCGGAGTAAGCATAGCAAATAGGTCCAGGTAGGCACAAAATCTCAGAACCGACTCTTTGTCCGGACACTGCCTTTGAATCACATAACGTTCTAAGTGGTAGGCACTTAATGTTCTTTTCAAGTTTTCTAGCAGAAAATCTGCAACTTTAAGAAGCAAAGCAGAACAAAACAGAACATTTCTTGATAGTGTACTTTGTTTTCGCATTTGCAGGGCTCTAAATTACGGAGGAATAGGAGCAATTATTGGGCATGAAATTACACATGGTTTCGATAACGAGGGTATGTCTTTTCTTCAAAGAAAAAACTAAGAATTCTATTACTGTTGCACTGCACACTTTGAAGTTTCTGACACCTTTGACAAATCATTTTAGGACGACAGTTTGACGCAAATGGTAGTCTTAGCGAGTGGTGGGACGAGGACGTATTAAGAAAATTTGAGAATCGAACTCAGTGCCTAATCGATCAATACGATAATATTACAGTTTGCAGCGCTCTACAACAATGTGTCTCGTTATTGGCGAATGTCATTTAAGGTACCTGGCACTAATCTCACAATCAACGGCAAACTGACGCTAGCAGAAAATATCGCCGACAATGGTGGAGTGAAACAGGCCTACAGGGTTACACCGTAGATCATTCTCCTGCCGCGCCTCAAATGATCTATTTAGGCTTACCAAGCTTACCTGAAAAAGCATGGTGGAGAAAAGAGAATCAAAGGCATGGAAGATTATAACAACGAGCAGATGTTCTTCATAGGCTATGCTACGGTAACACTTACACGACGTAGTGGCATGACATACAGTCCCACTTTAGGCATGGTGTGGGCATTTCACACCTGACGAGCTGATTAGGAGAATTCTTATCGACCCGCACGCTCTTCAGCGTTATCGGTAAATGAAGTTAGAGTATATACGAAGTCACAAATTCATGACTCTTTCAGGGTTAATCAAGTGCTAGCCAATCAACCCGAATTTGCTGCTGCTTTCAAATGTAAAGAGGGCAGTGCCATGAATCCTGTTAAACGCTGCGCTGTCTGGTGAAGTAGTCGTATTATATATGAAAATACTGTGCTCGTGTACTATACATGGCCTCTATCTGCATTACTAATGCATAAATTTTATTAATGAAAAAGGAGTTTGGTCAGTGTTATTTCACCTACTTTTTTGTGAGAAAGAATCAAAGCACTGTGTTAGGTAAACTTACAAGCTATAATGATCTTCCTTTCATTTTTCTTCCAAA